TATATTCATTAAGGCAATTAAAAGTTTTTCTGATTAAAAAATATCTTAGTTTAATTGTATTTTTTATTTTGGATAAAAAAAAAGAAAAATGTTTTAAATTCCCCAAAGACTTGTCCTTATAACTCCCCTGTTCTTTTGAACAAGAGTAGATAATTATTATTTGTTCCAAGATTGGGTTTCTGCTTCCTTTTAAAGTCCTCATTCTCTTCCACTCTGTAGCCCCCTGCATCTTAGTGACATTATCACCTTGCTTGAGGTGAATTGATTAAAAAAAATAAAAATTGTAGTTTTTTTTTTTTTCCTTAAGCCATGTGATGGAAAATAAGCATAACATCTTTTTTTAAACAGGTATTTTTTTTCCCTTATTTTTATGTATTAGTTCATTCCACACAAGAGAACCCTAATGAAATTTACATTTAATATGTTCAAAGTGGATGATGAATTTCATGCCAATAAGTAGTTTACTTTTAAATGGGAGAAGTAGGCCAATGAAAACCCAAAATTCTATGCAATATATGCTGATGAAGTTAAAAACTGTTTGAAGAGAATAGACATGATTTTTAAAATAACTTCATCTCTACCTCCAAAGGAAAAAAGTAAGGAAGAAAATAACATTATTAATCCGACATGTTTCCTCTTGACTATCACATGCTAACTGGAACAGATGCTACAAAATTAAGTATATATTATCACAGCCAATCATAACAAATAAGTATCTGCTTGTTAGTTACAATATTCACACTAATAGTTAAAAAAAAAACACTATTATATATTTAACAACAAAAATACAATATGTTTAAAATAAAATATCTAAGTACTAATTAAATTAGTTCAATTGATAAATGAATTGCATTCAGTTACAGATATCCTTGTTTAATTAGTATCAATAGATTTCTTTTATTATCTCAACTGTTACAGGATGGATGTGCGAAATGCATCATTTTTCATTAGAGGTGTATCCTTTTAGATTTTGTCAGGGTCACAGGATGTGTATATAGCAGCATCACTGCTAGGGCAAAGAAAGCTTGGCACAATAAACAGTTTAAAAGACAAAGCTTTTTTAAATCAGGAATATTTAGTTTTTAACACAGTAACAAGAATTTATACAAAACCAGAAGATTTATAAAATTTATAACTGGCTCATTGCATGTTTAGAGTAGAAAACCTCAATCATGTATTAAAAGATAATCATTATAAAAAAGAGCCTATTATGATAAATATGAAAACAAAAATAGAAATCTTAAACTGTTTGGAATGATTATTCATTAATGATTATCAGACTTTTTAAACCTAAATAGTAGCAAGGATGGATGTGGAGCTTAAATGTATGAATGTGTTATTAGTTATTGTATTCAAACTTCTTTGTCTAAAAATAATTACAGAAAGCACCTGCAAAAAAAAATTTTTATAATGTCCAGGTGTTCCCTTCCTATATTTGCAGAAGCTTAACATTTTTCTTAAAAAAAAAAAAAAAAAAAATCCCAGCCCCAAGGGCAATGACAATTTAGAGTAGTAATTGAAAAGATAAGTTTATTGTCTTGCAAGCAGACTGAAAAAATCCATTTCATGAAAATAAACATTTGTTGCATAAAAAGACTGTTACAAATTTTTTGGGGCCCCAATTGAAAAACTTCATAAAATATAAATATGCTAGACATTTTCATTTTAGAAAGTTTAAACCAACAATTCTAAAGTGCATGTATATACTCAACTCATAACTTTTTAAATAGATATATTTTTTAACAATCTTTGCAAAGTATGCAAATATTAAAAAATTTTTTATAAATGTAATTTTAATCCAAGAGGAAAAGTAAAAGACATCTTCTAAAGATCAGAATTTTTTTTTTTAAGTATTTAAATATTTGCACATTTCTCAATCATCTATAAATTCTAAAATTACTGGCAAAACTCAAATTGTTACTATTGCTTCCTTTTAATACAGATATGTAAAATATATTACACAAAAACCCCAGATTTTTTTATTTATTTATCACAAGACCTGTAAAGTCTTTATTATGAAGACTAGTTACATAATGGATTTCTTTCATTAGGAAAAATAAATGTTTTAATGGGAGGCATGTCTAAACATCTCATACTCAAAATTCAAAGCATTTTCATGAGAAGTAATTGTAAACATTTTAAAGTCATGTGAGATTTAAACACCCCCATCACACGCTCACAAAAAAAAGAAAAAAAAAAGAGGCTTTTGATTTTTAGCTACATCTCATGTTGTGGAAGTTTTTTTTAAAAAGAAAAAAAGCACAAATTGTATTATCATTCCATAAAATTCTAAGTACAGAAAACTATTTTCATATAAAAAAATTAAGTGACATGAAAAAATGCCCAAAACATTAAAAAAAATATCTTCAAAATCTTTTTTTTTTTTTTTTACATGTTTTGTAAATTAAAGCAATAGGGACAGAAATTAAATGTAAATGATAATTAGTTTGGAATTAAAAATAAAATTAAAAGTATATTTTTGTTTTTTTAAGGTACCTACATTTTTAATGAAAAAAGAAAAATAAGTTAAGCATATTCTCTCTCTAGTCTAAATAAGAAAAGTTAAAAGTAAAACGCTTGCAATATTATTGATGTTGAAACTATTTTCATAGACAATCACTACATGAATTTGAACCTCACTAAATGTGCGCAGACTTATGGCTTTTACCAGACCCCCCCCACCACAAAAAAAAACTAAGTACAGTAATAAATTAAAGAAATGATGCACTAAGTAAGTTTTAATTTTAATTTTTTTTTTTTAATGCAAAAAAAAAAAAAAAAAAAAATCACTTTTTCTGTATTGGGATTTAAATTTTGTTCATTAAAAAAGTGCCGGTAAATTTTCATTTTAACACACGAGCGTCATTCACTGCTGAACTATTTCTCCAGAAATTAGTACGCGCTTCCGTAAATCGATTTTTTTTTGTACTTAATTTAAGATGAAAGTTAAATTTCAATTATATGTAAACATCGACAAATAAAAGAATAACAAAATAAAAAAAAAACACCTAACCCTAATTTGAAAGTTAACTTTCTTCTTAAAAAAATAAAAGAATAACAAAAAAAAAAAAAATTTACTTTGTTATTCTTTTATTTGTCGATGTTTACATATATTTGAAAGTTAACTTTCTTAAATTAAGTCCAAAAAAAAAAATCGCTTTATGGAAGCGCGTACTAATTTCTACAAGGAATTGCTGTGAAGGAAGTAAATAGACCCAAATTGCATACGTCCACCAACAAAATTCAGCACTGAATTACTTATCAATAAGCCGGTAATGGCTGACGAAAGACCAGGATAAAGTCCGATTTTTTGGGGGTCGTTAACATCCAAAAAAAAAAAAAAAAGTTAGGTTTCTTCAATAATTGTTGATTTGAGTTCAGCATATACATTTGCAAAGAAATAAAGACTATTTTGAAAAAAATTGAAGGGATATTAGTGCTTGAGTGTTAAAAATTTATTTACCAAAGTGCCTATATGCATAACTGAAATAGTTTTTTTTAATGTGCATTTGTTTATGACCAAATTTATCAAAGGCACGCTTTCGTAACATGAGGCTTTAAATTTCCTCACTTCTTCAAAAATCAAAATGATGTAAGTTGTAAGAAGACATTGTTTTTTTTTTTTGTCTTTTTGTTTAAACGACTTGGCTTTTTGTTAAAATAAAAATATAATCAGACCGGAAATTCAGAGGGGGTACAGAAAAGTAAATCAAATTTTTATTCAGAAAGCGTAAATGAAAAGGGGTTTACCATAAGTGTTTTTTTAAATTTTTAAGTTTTAAGATTTTTCATTTTTAAAAATTCATTGTATCGAGTTTCCGTGATGGTCAATGTAGCACTTTAAAAACACCCATGACGAATGCTACTTAATTTAAAAAATTATTTTTTATCATTCGCTTTCATGATTTAGTACTCTTATGTCATTTTTTGGGGGTCATTCTTCTTCACTACAGTTAAAAAAAAAGAAAAAAAAAAAGACTAAACTTAAAGAGAGAACATATTTCTTTTTGACCAGAAAAGTGAGTGTCATTTTATTTTTTTTTTATTAATAACTTAATGGCCTTCATTCGTTCGCTGCTTTTTTTTAATCATCTTCAAAAAAAAAGTTATGCTGTTAGTTAAATTAATTAATTAGTGGTTTTATTTAAGTTAAATAATTTAACTGATTATTTTTAAGGATGGATTAATCAACAAATTCCAATTAAATTTTACTTTAAAAAAAAAAAAAAAACTAAGAGTTTTTGTACGTTTTTTACAGTTCTTAAAAAATACTTCACATTTTTATGTTCATTTCAGCTAAGAAAAATGTTGAAAAGATAAAAAAAAAATTTATCAACAACTTTTGTTTATAATAAAAAAACTTAAATTTTATTTTATTTTTGTTTATACGAAAATGACAACGTGGATCATTGGTAAAAAAGAAGTAATTTATTGCTAATCATTTTCAATTCTTGAGGTACACTGTTGATAGGAAAATTAATCACTTGATTTTAATTTTTAATTGACCGTTTTTGACCTATAAACTTTGGAAAGATTTAGAAATAAGAAATTATATATTTGTTTTTGTTCAATGTCTATGATTAAGAAAAATTATTTGTATACGAATATTTTCTACAAATTTGAGATCAACATTTTGATTTTTTAATTAAAAAAAACAAAAACAAAATTATGCGACATGAAAACGTAATAAGCAATAATTACAAAAATTGCTTCCTTTAAATCGTTGATTGAATTTAGAGAATAATTATTACCGTACGCAATTAATAATAGTTGCAGGTTAAAACGTTTATTAATCTGTCAGTATCGGTAAAAAAAAAATTGCGTAACATTATTTAATAATAATCTTCTTAATGGAAGCTAGTCGATTTATTTTTTCGACACACAGTAAATGTCAAAGTTGTAGTTAGTAAAAACAACACAAAAAATTACTGTTGGATCGGAAACGTAGGGACTTCATCTGCCAAAAAAAAATTAATAATAAATAAAACAAAAATATTTACCCAACGTAGCTAGGAGAGATAACAAAACTACTTTGCTGAACATCTCGAACGCCGCTTTATTTCTGTATACAGAAAAGAAAAATACGAAAGTGCGCAAAGCTGGCTTTATATATGGGCTGAGTCTCTACTCACATGACTTGATGACGTCATAGCAGCTGGTTAATGACGTCACATGAAAACATTTTTTTTTAAAGAAAATTAGAATTTCTTATTATTGTTTACTCAATTTCTCTTTCAAATAATTAATTTATTTGAAGAAAGTATCTATAAACAAAAAACAAAATATTTATTCAATTAAAGACCACATGCAAGAAATGGTAATTTTAAAAGTTTACTTTTCATTTAACACGTTTCTTATTGCTTTATGTTACATAAACCAGACATCAGTTCAGTGGTACACAAAAAGGTAAAAGATTCTTCAAAGGTTTTTGATCAAATGCTTTTCACTTTTATTTTTTTTATTATCAAGATTCAGACAAAAATTCAAAATCCTTTGAAGAGTTTTTACATGACTAACATTCACTCAGATGGAAACAAGAGGTTTAATGTAAAAAAAAGATCTGTGTCTGTAATCAAGTTTAGTTAGTTTAATATAAACATCATACACACCGATTTTTCTTTCTTTACATAATCTAATGGGGGATAGGGGATACTGCTCAGTGACGTGCAGAGGTTTGATGATGCCCAAGGCCAACTCCTTTATTGTATGCCCTTAAGACTCAATTAGGGGGGGGTCTTATAGGGTCTAGTAATGAGAAATGTAAGAAAGGAAGATATTTTAAATATGTAAAAACAGATGAAACATGAAATAAACACTTTATTCAAATTAAATACAAACTAAATTTTTATTTCATTCTTTGATTGGATGCCCTCCAAGGTCATCTCACCCCCTGATCCCCACTTCTGCATGCCACTGTTGCAGCGGGGCGAGAGGTGTGAGTGCCAATCGACCGTACACCAAAAATAGGGGACACAAAGGCAAGGAGATGGCAATAGCAAAGAAGGATGACAAACGCAGATGGTCCGTTGTAGACAATGGAAATCGTGTCTTTATTTGCGAACGGTGGATGGTAAGACGACAGAGGTCGTTTGTTCGGGAACGGTGTGCGGACGTTAACGGGCGCTGGACGTCAGTGGGCACTGGATTAGATCGTCAGCAGGTGCTGGAATAGGTAGCGGGACGTCAGTAGAGCGCCGCAGGGGTGAGCTGGAAACTGCAGGAGTGCTGGAAACTGCAGGAGTGCTGGAAACTGCAGGAGTGAGCTGGAAGCGGTAGGAGTGCTGGAAGCTGCAGGAGTGAGCTGGAAACTGCGGGAAGCTGTAGGAGCGAGCTGGAACCTGCTGGAGTGAGCTGGTAGCTGCAGGAGTGATCTGGAAGCTGCAGGAGTGATCTGGAAACTGCAGGAGTGCTGGAAGCTGCGGGAGTGATCTGGCGACTCAGAGGGAAGGCAGTAGCAGAGAGTGAAGTGAGTGGAGCCTTGAAGAGTGGTGATCGAATGACTTTCGGAAGTTAGCCCTGAAAAGGACTGTTTGAACAACTGCTGCTACTGCTGCTGGGTCCCGTCAGCTGCTGGGCTTGGTCGACTTGACTGGGCGCGTCAAAGTCGCGAACCAGGAAGGCTTCCTGCTTCCGTGGCCGGCGGTATTTATTTGAGCTCCACGGGGTCAAGATGTGACCAAGGTCGTTTTCGTGGGATTGCTTGGCCCCACGCGGTCAAATCGTGACACAAGGTCGTTTTTCGTGGGAAAACCCAAGCGTTTCCGCATAGGGTCACTGGTCAAAGATTGGTCATAACATGTCCAAGCTGGTCAAGGCTTAGTCAAGTTCTGGTCCAAGTTGGTCTTGGCTTGTCTTAGCAGGTCCTGATATGGTCCAAACTAGACTTTGCCATGGTCGCAACCCAGCCCGACGGCCGGGCTGCTTCCGTGGCCGGCTAAAAACCCCTGCGAAGTCTCGGGCATCTAGATATGACGGTTCATACAAGAGAAGCGGTGACGCTAAACAAGTAAATGAATATAATTAATTTCGGGCCGTATTAATTACAGTCAAAAGTGTGTTCGGTATTTCTTGACTGTATTTAAATTAATTTCGGTTCGAAATTAAAGGTCTTTTATTTTTGTTTAGTGGCGAAAATTGAGTTTTGTGTGTTTCTGTCAGTTTGAAAGGATGTCGTTGCTATTTTTAGCACACAAGGGTCGTGACCTTTCTCTACCGGCAGGCATATCCGGGGTTGTTTAAGAAAAGGTGAGAGTGGTGTTTGGTCACACTGCGACACCACTGATACTGATGCATCTCCGAGCAATCTATATTAACCTTGCTTAGCCCAATGAGTCTTTTAGTTTTCATATATGTGTGAGCTTGTCTCAGTACTTGAAGTCTCGATATTTCTGACTTTAGAAGTTCTGTTGCTCTGATTACTTAGTAGACAAATTGTAGGGTCAGTCTACCTGGATTAAAAGTGAAAAATTAAAATCTGAGTGTCATGCCTACAAATACAGCATGATTTGAAGAAATGTTTTTTTAGCATAGGCAAAAAGGAATACCAGATTGAAACAATGATACATAAACAATGTACATAAATATATATACATATTAACATTTGTTTTTACATGGTAAACATTGTGTTTGTTCTGGTTGTAAAAAATCAAAGTTTAAATGTTCGACAAAATTTTCCATTTGTTAAAGGGTAGTTCATAAAGTCATATGCCTTGTTGTGTATATATAGTGTGTATATATGTGCATGTGTCTGAAGCACATTTTAACAGAGTGTGTGTATGCATGTGGGGGTTAAGCACATTAGTAAAAATGTGTATGTGAGTGCTAATATGTGAATTCTCATTATGGTGGTTCCAAAAGATGGGTGATTCACATCCAGCTGCTGACTGGTTCTTTAATGTGTATTTTTATTGCCTCTGAAATCAGTGTATATATAGTTATCCTGATCACGTAATTGGCTCCAAACGAAAGCTTTTCAGTTTACATGGGATAGCACCTGACGGCCAGGTCATTTGGAGTTCAAACATACAGATGTAGTTGGAAACATAGCATGTGATATTGTCCAATCAAATTCCAGAAACCACTTATTTAATTTTGGATCCTATTTTTTTTTTTTTTTTACTGATTTGTACAAAAGTTTTTGTTTTAGTAATTCTGATCTTATTTATGTGGCCATTTCTTACTTATTTGTGTTTCACCTATTTGTTGTAAAATATAGGATTTTATATAACTGTGCCGAGATGTCACTTGGACATTTGTGTAGACATTAAACCTTTTTACTAGACATGCATGCATTCATAATCCTGTCAGCAGTAATCCTTTTTTAACTTTTGGGTATGTGTAAAAAAAAAAACTTGGAGCATGTGTGATGTAAATCTGAAGAGGCTAGCTCTCTTTCACCTCAGGCCAAGATCGGGATAGGATGCTAAAATTAGCACTTCATGCAGTAAACACAGATGGGTTAGATTATACACATCAGTCACTCTCTAATTCACCAACAGAGTAAGTTCAACTTTTCCATCCTTTTTACAGAGACACTCATAAGAAAATTCCTGGGGTTTGTACTTTTTTCTGTAATATTCCTTAACATTTTCTCTACACAAAAATGTTCTAGATAAAATAAAAATTTATATCTCATTTTGTTTCACTCTTTTGTTTGTCTATTTTCTTAGCCAATTCAACATTTTCTCTGGCTCAAATGGTGACCCCTAACTTAATAACAACACCATGAAGGATTAAGTATTATAGATAATAAGATGAACTATAACAGAAATAGAAAAGAAGAATATGCTAAATATTAAAGTATGTATTAAAGAATTTATTTTTTCTGAAAGTTGGGAGGAATGTTCACATAGACAATTATACACACAGAAAACAGACATCACATCAGATGATTTTAAAAAGAAAGCCGCCAAATCTTGTACAGTAATAAAGTGGTTAGCTTTCCACTCTTAACCATTGAAGTGTGTTGACTTGTTTTTTGCATGCTCTTGACATCATTAGAATTCAGGATAAGAGGACGATAAGGATAACAAAATGAAGGTCCATAAAAGCAATCTTTCAACATTGGGTTCACTCTATCTACAATATTTCTGTCAGTTATAGTATATCCAACTACATCAATTCACAAGACTGATAAGATAGTCTTTTCTTCATTGAACTCATGGCCATCTTTAAAAAAACAGCTTTTGTAAGACTGAAAAGATTTTCATGTACTTTGGCCCCTGCCTAAATAAATGTGTCTTTCAGTTTGTAATTAGCAATGAAGTCGTCTATAGTTCATTGAGAGATCACTTCTTCATTTGTTATGCCAAACTAAAAAAAGTAGCAAAGTTTTCTGTTGGCCTCAAAAACAGTGAGTGACTTGTTTGAGTCTTATGTAGAGATTTGAATCTAAGGTGTTAAAAACATTGTGTTTAACCAAATTATTCAACTTGGGGAGAGGGTAGGCATCAAGAAAAGCAAATTTGTTAATAATTTGATTGTAGTTAATTTCCAACTATTTCTTGAGATATTGGCTGGAAGTCACCAAAGGGAGGTTTGATCACTTGCACGTTTTTTTATATGGCTTAACAGGCTCGAAAAACGAAGCGAGTATAATTAGGAGGGAAGCATTTTTATTGGACGAAAAATAAAGCACTTTAAATATTATTTTATTTTTCGACCGGAACACGTGTGTCGGGAACATTTGTAAAGAAAGATAATGGTCATTTGGTGACGGGGCTTTGTCCCGTTCACATCCGGTTCTCGCTCTTGAGTATTTGCCTGTAAATCAGCCGAGATATGCTTTATTTTATTTTATAACAAGGCTCTCCCAGATCTCGGTCTGATTTACAGTGAGCGTTATTCGTGTATATTTGGGTGATTAATTCATGATAAAGTCTCTGAAGCGTGTGGGAAGTTGTCTTCGTGTTCTTCTTATTGGCATTTGTTTTGGTATGGAGTTATTTGCTGAATTATGTGTCCCAGAGGGGTGTGGAGGAGAATGATCCTGGTGACTGTTACATGGTGGAGGCAGAGGGATTGTATTAGATAGATGTGTTGGACGTGGAGCCAGTCGTCGGATATGAGCACGGTGAATCCAGATTGTATCACCATCATCGTTTTGCACCTGACACATCATATTGTTCGTTTTTATAATGGTGTAATTTCCTATCCATGGCAGATGAGAGGATTTGGCAACAGTTGAGTGTGGCCGGTGAAGTAAAACCTTGTCCCCTACTTGTATTGGGTCCTTGTATGTGAGACGATTTAAGTTTGTGGTCAGCTTCATCGTTGGCCAGGTGACGTGGTGGTGAACCTGCTTTAACAGGGCATTAATTTGCATTCCATATGCTCCAGGATCGTCGCTTGTGATTTCTTTTCTGTGTAGTTTAGGTAGGCCGATGTTGGGGTGACGGCCAGTAATGGCATAGTGCGGGGAGACACCGGTGGCGCTGTTGGTCGTGGCATTCATGGACGAAACGACAGATTCTAGAACGTCTGTCCATTCACAGTTCCTGTCTTCGCATAACATATAAAGTGCGTTCTTCATCGTGCGACGTTGTCTCTCGATATTTCCTGAGCTTTGCGGGCGCCAAGGACAGTGAAGTTCTTGCGTGATTGACATCTGGTTACAGAATTGTCGATAGACTTCCCCAGTGAAGTGTGTGCCTCGATCAGAGGATACTATGGGTGGAATCTCTCTGTATCGAAGGAAGAAATGGTACAATCTGCGGGCGGCGTCGATAGCACGGTCTCTCGCGCATGGTATGGCTGTAAAATGTCGGCTGAAGCTATCCAAGATGGTTAGGATGTAGCGTTTTCCCTTTGAGTTGGGCATTGTGACAAAGTCTATAAAGATGAGATCGAATGGTCTCTTTCCTCGTTTGCAGTGGCCAATAGGCCAGTGGGAACGTCTACCGTAGTTGCCCTTGCACTTAGCACACGTGTCGCAAGAATCAACATAGGCCTTGATGTCGCGGTTTTTGAATTCCCACCAGTAGCTGGAAAGGAGTTCTCGCATACGGGTAACACCTGAGTGGTTGTTGCCCTCGTGTGCCTGGTATAGATATCTGGGTCGTAGTTTGTATGGTACAACCAATCTCGGAGAGTGTTTACTGTCTCTTATCATCAAAACGGAGGTGCCTGGTTCTAGAAAAAATTTGTGAAAATGTTTTTTGAAAAGCGTAGCTCGGTGGTCGTCAGGATCGATATGAGGTTCGCTTGGAGTGGGTGACTGGAGGGCGCTGATGATCTTTGCCAGGGTGTCGTCCTTCTGTTGTTCATCTGCGATGCCAAGGTGGTTGCAGATTCTCTCAGTGGAGATGGTGGTGGTGGATTGATAAGCGAAGAATGCGTTGGTGACGCGCTTGTGGGTGCAGGCGTTTTGTGGTGTGTGAGTTTTTGGAATGAGCTGTAAACCGTTAAACTCGCCGAAGCACCAAGATGGGATGTATACGCGGAGGTCTGAACCGCTTACCTCGAATGTCCTGCCTGCCGGTGTAGGGTCGTTCGGGGCTTTCGTTTTCTTATGTCCGCAACCTCTGCTGAGCATGTCAGCCCATACATTTGATTCGCCTTCAACATATTCCAAGACGAATTTATAACATGAAATTTCTTCTTGCCATCGTCGTATTTTGGCATTATTGAACTCTCGTTGGTCCAGATATGTCAGCGATCTGTAGTCGGGCGGTTGTGAAGGAAATAATCAAATTTCAATATTGCCTACTTTATTGCATATGCCTCTCGTTCCGTCGTGGACCAGTTCTGTTCCGTGGAGTTGAATGTATGGGAAGCGACCGCTATGATATCTTTCTTCCCGTTGTCGGCTTCTTGCATTAAGATTGCTCCACATGCGACGTCACTGGCGTCGGTGGTGAGTGTGAAAAGTTTGGAGAAATCTGGAAACGAGATGACGGGTGGCGAAGAGAGACGGTCCTTGATTTTTTTGAAGGCTTTGTCGGCATTTTGCGTCCAGATAAAA